TGTGCTTTATCAATACCTACAATTTCTGAGAAAGATTACTGAAATCTCTCTAGATGCTCCACTGCCTTTGTACATTTTACATTGTTATCTATGTGGAAGTCCTGCTGCCCAGCCCCATCAGCTTCATCATTATTATAGAAAACCTTCCAAAAATAGCAATTAAAAAAAAATTAAACCCGTATTATTTACAATAGTGCTCTATCAGAAACCCAATTTAAAAAAAATCAAGTTCTACTCCCTAAACAAGGTAATTGTTTGCACTGTTTCCCGACCCAACGCTGAGTTTGCCTTTCTCTCCTTGTTGCTGTTATATAACCAAGTATATACTCCACTTGAGGGAGAGAGGTGGGGAGTTCATCTACAGAGCGGTTTTATAGAACACTTATAAAAAAATAAAATCCCTGGGCAGGAGGAAATGCTTAGGCAGAGTAATGCAGCTTGCCTAAGACCACAGAAACAGCAGTATGCAGTGAATGCTGAAGAAGTTCCCAGTTTATCTCTAATCTCTTTAGGCTCACAGTCTAGCTTCATGTTTGGTTGCTCCCACCATCCAGGAAGAACTCCCATGGAAGACAACCAGAGCTCCAGTGAGAAGGAAGTCTACCAGTGGGACTGAAATTTCTTGCTCTCTAATCCTTTTTTTAGGGTAAAAATCTCTTCTGCAGCCCAGCAGACAGGGATCTTCTAAGTCACTCACACACTTTTCATTCTTGCTTGATTTCTGGAATTTTCCACGGGTGCCAGAAGCTCCATCTGGTGGGTGTGAATACTAACTGCATAGCTGAAAGGGAATTAACTATTTCCTTATCAAATGCTGCTAGGTAATAAAATAGTATTACACACACACACACGTTAATTTTTGTGTCTGAAAAAAACAGTGCAGCGTGGCCAAATATGGATTGCTCTGGGAACCGTAACTTTGAGTTTCCTGCCCTGTGTTTAAAAATGCAAAATGCCACATTAACTTAGGTTCATCATTTTTTTAAAATTAGAGTGCTCATGCATGCGAGTACACACACGCTTCACTATATAAAGCAGGAATTACGTTTATTTGCAAATTGGGAATTTCAGAGAAGTAGGGATTTCCTAGCCAGCCTAGCAACCTTTCTGTTGAATCCTGGAAACTAATTTCCAATCATGTCCATCCTCTGGGTCACAGTATACTTATGCACAGAACCTTGAAATTATAAGCATCAGTGGCCCAGAAGATAGCCTTCCACAACTACCGCAACTTAAATACCTTATTTATCTGAGCATTCAAGGTATCAAGAGATGTATGGCTATATATCATTATCTGCTGTGAAATCAGCACATACTACACATGCTCAGTAAGCTATTCTCAGCTGGCCGTACCTATTTTTTTTTTTTAAAGATGTCTCCGAAATCCAGGCCTCAAATTATCAAAAACAACAATGCATGTCATTTTCTTATACCATGATATATTTGGATGACTAAGAAAAGAAAAAGGAGACCGAATAAAAATCCCTCAAATTTTCCAAAACATCTTATCTGGATTGGTTGAAAATAATCATGAAAAATTCCAAGGCAAAAATACATTTTAGAAATTTAAGCACGAGGACGTTACGGAATCTATTCAGGTTGTCTGAATCAATGCAAAAAACTATTCTCAGTCAGTATGATCCAAAAGAACCTAGAGACATTTATAATGTCACAAACTGGCACAAAAGCTTTTATATATTTTATATATACAGACTTAAAAATATGCAATCAATCTTTTCGTGATTATGTGCGTTCAAGCCAGTAAGACACATTACTTGGTGTACTGGTAAATGGTGAGTTGGCAGAGCACCTCACTATAAGGTTACATACATATTTTCTAGGACACTGAAGAACATTATAATCTAGTCCCTATCCTTGCATACATCAAATATTAAATTGATAAGATCTAGCCATTGGCTAGCATCATAACTAATAAGCTGTTTTTTCATTTTAAATACTTAAGGAATATCTGATTCAGTCTTCTCTTCCCCTAACCCTCCATGTGCTTCAAGCATAAATGCCATCACTATGGGACTGAGGGAACCTTTGAACAAGAGTTTATACATGACCTTA